TATATATATATATATATATATATATATATATATTTATTTATTTATTTATTTATTTATTTTAGTGAAAACTCTTAAAGATTGACTTTATTGTCAGACAACCGTAATAAGTTGTAGCGTTCATTCATAAGAATGTAGATTGGCGGCATCACCCTGTCACTTGCGATAGCAGTATCGTTTCCACGTTATTCGCACGAGTACGCGAGGTCGTTTCCTGCCGCGAGGACTTCCGCAGTCTTCTCGCAAGTTCATTCTCATAATTCTTACGGAATTCTTAACGGAAAATCGCACTCTTTTCGCTTGGTCGCCGGTGAATCAGCTCGTTGTATAATCAATTGATTAGGGTTGCACTAATCGCATAGTGGTGGAAAATGCACGACCTCTGAGAAAATCCACGTGGGTGCGTGTTGCACATGCGAACGGACAACAATACTACCTCAACTGTATCTACGATCTTCCATCTCCTCTCGCCGCCGCTTTGACTTTCCATAGGCATCGGCACTCTTAACGAATTCCCTACGGCTAGATCGGGGTCGCATGAGGTGTAGCAGCAGATGATGCACGTAGCGCGTAGTGGTAGACAGGCTGCGAGAAAACATCACACGCGCAAAGAAGAACAATTTAAGTGAACTAACAGCGTGCACACGTGCTCTGGGAAAAAAGAGAAGTACACCACGGAGTGACGTTGCAATCACGAGATCCACGTCCGTCGGCTTTGAAGAGAGAGAAAGAAAGAAAGAGAGAGATCTTCTTTCGCGAATCCAGCTTAGATACGAATCTCTTCGACTCTTATTCGTCGAAAAAAGATTTTCAAAGATCGTAACGATCTCTGATAGGCGTATTCGATGTCTTTAAGTGAATAATAAAGAAAAGAAATCAATGGCTAACCATGCTGAGATCGGCGTATATTAATATTGCATACATGAATATAATAATTTTATATCGCGTGTATGACAGAATGCGAATGTTTAATTTAAAAGCTTTATTTTTTTAACTCAAAGTGCGGCGAAATGAAATGAAAAACATGATTTAGAGGGAAAAGAACAAATAATCAAAGCATAATTAAGAATAATCGAAGCAGTCTGTCCTAAAGATCCCTGTTGAAAGGATCAGTTAATCAGTTGACTAGTTAAATACCACTTTAAATATTAATTAAAAAGCACCGACTGTTTGCATTTTCCTTTAACTGATTCAATCGGAAATATTTGTACCGATTTACTCTAAAATAGTATGATTCACGGCGAGGAATATCGACGTTGCTATAGAAATTTGTTCGTCGACTGAAAAATCCGCTGAGTCGTCGATTCATATGCGCGAGATGGAGAACCAGTGTGGTGAACACGGCCATATAGGGAGCCCTCCATCCGGATTAGAACACGCCAGTCAACGACCTCATCTTTATGCGCGTTCGAATTCATCGATAATTATTCAACGAGCTTCGAAAGTTTAATAACTCTCGGGTCAGATGACGCGGTAGGATTCGTGGAATTCAGACATCGTCATCACATCGAGGACTCGTCGGTCGAGGTGAAAGGTAAGAGAAAGAAGTTTATAGTTCCTGTTAGTGTTAAGACGAGTTTAGACCACGCGGCAGGAAACGACATTAAAATTTCTTCTTACATGGCATTTAATTCTTTCGTTACACTGGTTGATTGAAATGATGAAACCGACTCGTTCTGTGAGTCAGGATGACGCGAAATATCAAATCGCATTAGTTCCATGTCGATTTTATATAATAGGGAAATTTTTGCAACATCAGACATTCGTGAATCATGTCTTTTGCCGCGAGATTTTACAAGAAGGTAGCTACAAATTGCCAACCATTTCATTTAGATTTAAATGATCATTATATTTTAACATATAGGGCAGACTGGGGTTATGTGGCCTTATGTGCATTTTTTAGCATTTATCTTGAAAGGAATAGTGGTTGCAAAATTGGAAAATAATCTTTTTAGAGCATAAATACTTTCCCCTGAGTTTTATCAAAATCGGAATAATATCACAGTTCAAAATAAGATAAACTGATTTGGTAACAGCAAAGTAAATTTTCGAGTTTCTCGAAATTTTCTATTAATATTCTTCATTGTGACTGAATAAAATTAGACGATGTGTTACTAGATAGAATAAAATTTATTGTAAGTATATGATATATTATTTTTTATAATAAATGCAATTTTTATTTATAAAATGATTGAAATAGAGCATATGGGTGGACGAAGTAAAGTTGGTCTATAATTAAAGCTCGGCAGAAGGGAGACTCTAGAACTATTAATTTTTTAGGATACATTTTTTTATGTAATCTTCTTTACTCTGCGCTGAACTCGACAAGATGGCTATGTTATATGTTCGTATTTTGATTATTACAAACGAAATACACAGAGTCGTGGCGGATATTAATATATAGAAGAGGGTAGCCTCTATCATGCTTATACAGTCAGTTACAACAATTAGTTGCCTCAGAAGTTGTAACTTCGAAATCCTAAAATATAGAATATTTAGTCCCGGTCTCCTCTAAAAATTGCAAGAATCAGATAATGCGATTTATTTAGCAGCTACGTGTTCCCGTATACTCTAACGCGCGAAAATATCACGTGTATTTCACATAGGATCGAAAAAGAAGCCTTCGAAAACGAACAATAAACGTATGCACCGTCCGTTCTATGTCAATTCAAGGATCTCGTCGTGCCAGAATCGTGAACGAAAACCCGATCTTACGATGAGAAAACACGAGATGCTTGTGTGCGGCGCACGTGAGCATGCGGCACAGGTGTGTCTGGCGTATACATGCGACCGTCCGTGAGTGCACACGCGGCTACAAAGTGTTACGTTTGTTGTATGGCGGTCGCGGTATGTGGGTCAGGAAGCCGGCGTTACTAACAAGTGACTCGATTCGAGTCTCGTGAGGCGACACACACCGCCAGCTTTCGTCTCGCCGAATTTCCGCCTTTTGCCAAATCTGGCCCCACGACTCAATACGTCGTGTAATCGCGCGCAACGACGACCGCGAATAACGCCTCGCCCTCTTCCGGACAAATGGAATGCACGTTGAGAAAAGAAAATATACTTGAAAATTTATTCGTGGAGTAAAAGTTTATTTCAGGTAAATAAACTTTATATCTCACAAATAAATCTTTAAGTATTTTCTTTCTCAATACACAGAGAAAATATTGCGGCAAAAGTTAATTAATTAAAAATAAAAATTAATTAATTAATTAATTAAAATATCACAGTAAGTTCTACTTTATTGCCATTAGTGGCTCGTATAATTGACATAATTGTGCCAACTGTACCATTTACAAGACGTAAAATAACATCAATATTTCTTCTAATCATTATGCGTGCTCCTACTTTTACAATTATGATCCTTGCTAATTCAGCTGTTGAAGAACTATCTTCGTCATCCTTATTTAATATTTTTGAAACTATTCAAATATGATACACAATCTATCACGTCTTGAGCTACGAGTTCTATTTCATTTTAAGAGAACGTTTTAACATTGCATTATTTAGAATGTCACATAGTGCATAAGTTGAAAGTAAACAAATTGCATTCACTAGCAATTCCTGCAAATAATCACCTAATTGTTGTAATCACAAGTAGTTTCTGTAAATTTTATTTTTCTCGTTTCTAAGGCAACTGTATCCGAATCTGTTATTGCTTTTTGAATTCTGGATAATGTATTTCTATAAGAGTCATAATTTTTTTGTCGTATGTTAATTTGTAATTAATTTGTAATTAAAATAACTAAATAAAGACCATAAATTCGCAGAGCCCATTGCTTCAATATATTTTTCAATTTTTGGTCTCGATAATTTCATAAAGAGTGGTTCTTCATGCACAGGTGGAAGTTGCCATAAATCTCCAAAGAGTATATGTTTTTTACCGAACCATACGTTATCATAATCTTCAGTATTAAATATCTCCGTTAATCGAAGATGTATATACATTAAAGTAATATTTGAAATCATTGAAACTTTATCGATAATTATTAAAGCAACATTTTTTTCGTTTCATATAATTTTAAGAATTATATCAGAAAGTTGTTTATATTTAGTTGTTTATACTTATAAGTATAAGTTAATTTGAGGATCCAGTAAACACCAATTAACGATTATATAACATAAAGTATAATGATTTTAATTAAACTTCCACTTTTCTCACACTAAAATGCAAACTAACGCGAGATATATCTCCAGTCATGTTTCATTTCAAATATTTATGATAGTGTAGTCAGAAATCTCGCCCCGTAACACCAGTAACATTGAGAGGGAATGACGTACACAAACGTGGCCGTGTACGCTCCGAATTTCGGCGAAAATGAGTATCAGTAGAAAATGTCAGACGTATGATATGACTGTCAGTCTGCTTCCCTTACTAGAGCGAGCTGTCTCGTCGGACATGCACTGTTCAACTGTGATCAAAGATATATTCTTTATATTATATTATACATGTGTATGTTATATTACTAGTTCTGTAAATATAAAACCGGAATTTGCCCATAGATGGCCCTAGCTGTCAATGTAGTTACCGTCAAACCGCGTCATTGGCGCCATTTCCTTGTTGACATCTCTGACAAAGATTTTCAACTCACAACAATACAAGTTTCATACAACAGCATAGTTTGTAATAGCGTTGAACATGTCGAATTTTGTGCCTGAAAACTACGATTTGCGGACAGAATTGATTTTCTGTTACCATTTGAAGAAAACTGCTGCAGAATCGCATCGAATGCTTGTCGAAGCTTACGGTGAGCATGCTCTTGGTAAATCACAGTGCTTTGAGTGGTTTAAAAAATTCAAAAGTGGCGATTTTGACGTGAGAAACGAAGAACGTGGAAGACCACCGAAAAAGTTTGAAGACAGCGAATTGCAAGCATTGTTGGATGAGGATGACACTCAAACGCAACAACAACTCGCGGATCAATTAAATGTGACACGAGAAGCCGTCTCCATACGTTTGAAAGCCATGGGAAAGATCCAGAAGATGGGAAAATGGGTTTCACATGAACTGAATGAAAGACAGCAGAAAAACCGAAAAAACCATTTACGAAATGCTGCTCGCCAGGTACAAAAGAAATTCATTTCTCCATCGAATTGTAACTGGCGATGAAAAGTAGATATATTTTGAGAATCCTAAGCGTAAAAGATCATGGGTAACTCCAGGCGAACTATCGACATCGACTGCAAGGCCAAATCGCTATGGACGGAAGACAATGCTCTATGTTTGGTGGGATCAGAAGGGTGTGATCTATTATGAGCTGCTAAAACCTGGCCAAACCGTTAATACTGAACGCTACCGACAACAAATGATCGATTTGAATCAAGCTTTGCGTGAAAAACGACCAGAATATAAAAAAAGGCAACACAAAGTGATTTTGCTTCATGATAATACACTCATTATGCTTACGGAACTCTCGAAGATTTCGGCCAGTCTGCTCGTGGCGCTCTTGTTTTTCTTTGATCTTATCATTACGTATATCTTAGAGATATTAGGACAACCTCGCAGCAATTTCTCAATCAAGATCTTCCCGAGGAATCCAATTCCGTCTAATTAATCATATTCCAGCATTATTGTTTGACCGATTACGTCAACTGATAGATCTGATTTTCGGTTTTTAATGTTATATCCATCATGACTTTGTTTTCAACTTTTCGTAAACATTTCAATGTATTTCGTCAAGGAAAGGAATAAACTAAAATTGTTAAATGAGTCAATGTCATCAGAGTGCTTTCATCATTAAGCTTTAAGTTTTTCCCCTTTTTGAAGAAAAGTATTGAAATGTTCGCGGAAGGTCGGGAACAAATTCTCGAAGAATGCAACAGTAATGCAGGATCTAAATCGAGTACTTCTCCAAAACCTCGATATCAGTATATGTGTCAATTTTTATTTAACGTTTCTTTGTTGATCACATCGCACATATACAATAATAAATTATACAATAAATACCTGTGATGAAGATCGACTGGTTCGCGTAGAACGTTTGTATCGGCGTTCCTTGAATTTTGGTAGTTTTCGCAATATACAATTTTGTGTTGATTGAAATCATTAGTATATGACAAATGGTCGCTCATTCTGTCAGTATCTGTGTTCAATACTCCATGAAGTAATACTGATACCGTCTTTACTTTTAATTTCAGCTACGATCTGCGAGTGGATGTATGTAACGTGACACTAATTTTACTAAGACAACACGACTCTTATATACTATAAGAGTTAAACCAAAAAAATAAAAAAAACGAAATCATATATTATGTCAACATTTTTACGCAGTAGAAAAATTTTTGGTGAATTGTTCTGCTGCAGTTTGTAACGTAGACTGACAAGTCACGCTTACGGAAATTTCTCCTATTTTTTTTAAATTTGATCTATTTTTTATTAAAAATTTAATTTTTAGTAAAAATTAAAACTAAAACGCCTAATTTGACTCCAACCATATTTTTTAGTTGTTCCCACACGAAAATAATAGTAGTAACATGCATATAACATTATAATAATTATTTCTTTATATGATTATATTTACAAATACAAAATATTTTTCTCTCAGTAAAAAACTTTTAATTTTTTATTATTACAGAGCTTATTAACTAAAAGAGCACACCACAATGACAAAATCACCAGTAAATAACCGTTTCCTAAAAAATATCTACATTAATTTAATAATAATAATAACAACAATAAATTTTACTGGTGCAACAGAAAAATAGATATTATAAGTCGATAGCATCAACAGAACGCTGCTAAGTTAAAAAACGAGGCATTAGCAATGACGTTTGCTATTATTGCCTTACTTCTCTCCCTCTCTCTCTCTCTCTCTCTTTCTCTGAATAAGATACTCATAATTATATAATAAATAAAAATTTGTTAATATTATAATATCTCTCTATACTATAAAAAATATGACCAGAAAAATATACATTCTTTAGTAGACTATACACTCTGTAATAGATCCCTCTCTCGCAGTATCACGATTCCAATGTGCTTGATTCGTTCTGCGGAGAGATTTCAATGCGCGGTTTGCGTCACTGTGTCTAAACGCTTCTTCGCGCATGCCGCATTCTCCTGAACCGCGAGCATGCGGTCGGCATTTTGATCCTCATTTTGCGATCGGCCGAGCGATCGAGAATCCGTTCCACCGCAAAATAGAACAGAGTAAACAAGAGCTATGATAATCGAAAATCACGCATGGCTGCCTCGACGCGGCGCGGCGCAAACGGCCGTGTAAGTGTCCGCGCGCTCGCCGCGATGAATGCGATCGTATGCGACGGCGCATACGCTATGCGGCTCGCATGTTTGCACATTACATTTCTAATTGAATAACCGATCGCGACCTCTTCTCAATCGAGTGACACGGAATGCGGCGGACGACACGTCCATACGTCCTTGCTTTCAAGAACCCGGTTACTTAGCTCCCTGTGCGTCAGCCTTCCTGTTGATGTATTGATCCATAACAGTTCGTGTGGAAACAAAATTATAATGTACTTTATTCCTGTTAAAAAACGATTTTATTTGTTTTATTAAATTTCAAGTCCAGTTGCATTCCAACAATATTATAATTTTATTTGAACGTTATAATAGTTTAATAAGAAGTAATCTAATTATTTTGATAATATAATATCTTCCTTCGATATTTGAAAGATTATTCAATTCAATATTCTGCGCTAAAATTATTTTGGAATAACAAGAGCACAGATTTTTCTTCATTGAATCATATAATATTTATTCTTGCGAGTATAATTTACTTTCGTTTATGTAATCTCATTGGAAGTTTAACGTGTCAAAAATAAATATTTTCTAAAAAAGAATGTCCTTTTTTTACAACTCGAAAAGTCTAAAATACTTTTGTTCCATTTTTTCTTATTTTATTTTTAATAAACAAAAAAGTCACGTTTTACTTCAAATAAGTACTTGAGGAACAATTTGGTTGTAAAAAAATTTTTTAAATCGTCGTGATTGTGATTCTATATTTTTGAATGACGAAGCATGCGAAACATTTTTGCATGGATTATTAAATTTCATGGTTGCGTTGATCAGCGCGCGTGTGGTTTACAAAAATAGAATTATGAGTATTCTTCTCTCATTGTTACCATCTAGAAGAAACCATAATTAAATCGAAGGAGAAAGCGCCGAGGGCTAGGCGAGCCGGTTTAGGGTGATGCGGTTGGATGATTGTTTTCTTAATTCTTCCTACTTAACCCTACAATCGTCGCGCTACTTTTCGAACCCGAGTCGACACATGAGATCTTGAGAGACTCTAATATAAAAAATTATTTTATATCTTTTATGTTAAGAACTTAAATATTTTCTTTGTTTAATTAGATTTTTGGGTTCATGTAAAATATAAAAAAAGATTATTTTGGATATAATATTCTTTTAAAGACCCCCTGCGACGACTGTAGGGTTAAACACAATTCTCGCCTCGGAAAAGAGAAAAATTGTACGCTGAACAAGAAATCCAGAGGTGCCACGATATCTGAGATTTCGGAAGTGAGCTTAGGTCGAATTATTTACCCCGCGAAAGGAATATACAAATCCGCGAGAAGAAAATACAAATATATGTATATCGATAATGTTGACGTGACAAAACATGTCTGACAATCTTATTCTTAAAAAAAGCTTTTAAATTGTACTTGTATACTGTGTGAAAGAAGAAACATGTAAAAATTAAAGAATATCTTTTCTGTGGGTACTAATAACATATTTAATGAAATCTTTTCTTTAAATACGATAATAAATATATATTTTCTTATTTAAAAAGTATGTGTGTATTAGTATAAATAAATATGTATGTTATTAATACCAATCAATTAAATATTTTTTTATTTCTCAGATATGTTTTCTTAGATACTTCTTTCATCTTTTGTTCCAAAAAACGTTCTCAAATTTTTCAATTTTTCAATCTTTTTTTTCAATTCTGAAAGATTTCTCTTTAAGAATAGAATTGAAAACAAAGGTGTTACGAATAAAATTGGATAATTAATACGTCTCCGTACTCTCTACGAATTTTCTCTGGGATAATTGTTAGACATGTTACCGACGTTGTCGATCCTGTTATGCCGCGCATTTTGCAAGGGATAACTTCCTTGCGATTAGTTTAATTTCGCGTTGTGAAAAAAAGAGTTACTTATGTACGTACGCATTACTACCGCACTTGTGTTTTCTGCGAAATTATACACACATTGTTCTCAAGCGCGAGTACATTACTACAAATTGCCGTCTGAGTTTCCACGAGTTTTCGCAACTACGGGCAACCCTGCATATCTGTTATTTTCCTCGAAACGCCTCGATTCCATTTCTACAGTCCCATGCCGAGCGCTTCGCCTTGTGAACCTGCAATTATTGTCCCGCATGACGATTCTACACTGATAATTATCAATTACCATGCAGAGCAGAAACGTCGGGAATTATGTAAATGTGCGAATGGTGAAAATTTATACAAGTATCTCAGTCGGTTTGGTAAAGCTCGTCGGTTATATCATCTCGAAAGAATTAGACGTTTTCGTTTTACCGTAATAACGACGCATTAAAGGAGCTCACGTAAGCCATGTATAACACTCTGTCGTCATTTCTCTCGAAGAGAGTACCAACACTTTCCTATGATCTCGATGGTCGTATAAAAATATGATTACGAACAATTGCGAGAGAGAATCTCCGAAAGATCGGATTCCCCGATTATACATCAATTACCGACAATAGCTCCGCTTGGCCGACCCGTTCGATCTGTTAGAAGCGAGCACTGGTGGTAGTCGCGTTGCAGAGGCAATCGCTATCAAAATTACATTTTATTAAAATTCTTTTATTTAAATAGAATAAACTATTGTTTCCATAAAAAATTAAAGTTTTAAGGAAATGTATACTTTCTTACTTGGAAAGTATTTCATATATGAGTAAATATGTTATTACCTACCGTTATTACCTAAATATTTTTTATTTGTTAGTGTAGATAAACGCGCTTGAGGGGATTTTTTCCCAGAGCGCGCAATAAATTAATCTATCTGTCACTATTTCAAACACGACTTCCGACATAATCTTCAATTGAGTAATTTTTCACACAATTATTATCATTTAACATATAACACGCATTCAAACATCGAAAAAAAAAGAAATTACTAAGAAAAATCCAAAAACCTACCTTTAGCGGCCTATGTGACGATTGACGAAACCGACGCGAAGTATTAATAAAATCAACGCGGTCATTTAAAGATCACGAAGTGTACATGTTTCTCAAACATTTCATGACCTTACTTCGCCGAGATCAGCCGAGTGTCGTGTCAACCGACGGAGAAGATAGTCCAGCCATCCCACGGGATAGGATGGTGTTCGGACGACTTGGTGACGCGTTGGCTCGCAGGTTGGCCTGAATACCGGAGAAGCGCGTAAGTAGAGGGGACGAACAGTCAGTCAGTCGCACAGGCCAGCCTCGTTCCTGATGGCAACCGGCACAGCGGTCGTTACCTGCCGAGGAGGTGGTAGCGAAGAGCAACAGGTGGGGGAGCAGAACACCTGGACGACTTCCTGCTAGGGAGTAAGCACCTCAGTCTTCAAGAAAGAACGTCCGACATCGGTACCTCGTGCGAGTCTCGAGCCACCGAGTAGCCCACGAGCTCTGTCAGTGGACGCACTACCTCGTCTTCGTCGTCACCTTAACCCCGTTCGAGGACTCTCTCACCTGGCGTACGAGCGAGTTCGCGCGTTCAGTGCGTTCAGTCCGGTGAGAAAGGCAGAGTCTCGTCGCCCGTATCCGGAAATGACGTTTCTCCCGAGGTGCATTCGGTGATCGCGCGGGATCGACAGTGCGCCCACTGCTGACGGATTAATTGCTGGCCCGAATCGGTGTGCAAGCGAAACGGTTCCTCCTCGGCTTGCCGCTACGAGAGTACGTGCTGAGTGGACATTCAAGGTCGGAGTTCACGCGTAAGGCCGTGCCCGCCAAAGAAATGGAACGCAGGATCGCGACGCTTTGCCTCCTCCTCGTCGCATTGGTCGCTAAAGGTGAGTTTACGGATTTTTCTTACTATTTTCCGATCGAACATTACATATTAAACGAGATAATCATGTGTGAATCATTATTCGACTGATTATTATGTCAGAAGACATGCCTCTGAGTATTTGAAACAAATAAAGTTTAAACTTATATGATAAGTAGTCAAGTAGAT